TGTTTCACTCACCTGAACCCAGAGCTCACCAATTGGCCAGTCTAGCTAATCTGCTTGCCCAGGGATCCCCCTTCTCTGCCTCCTGAGGGCTGGGATTACAGGTATCTGCCACACCAAGGCTCAGTACAAAATCTCCCCCTCCCCCACTCTTATTTTCTGATCCTTCTAAAGTCTGTGAACTTGAAAGATTAGCATATATTCTCCCACAAAGACACAGACTTTTTTCCTGCAGGTTATGATTATTAAGGCTACATTAGAGATTTGGTACATAAATTTCACAACTTACATCTTCAATGGTTTTCACTATTTAATACCATGAAATATATATATTTTGTCACTGCAATGCTTTCATTTGCCTGGATATTATCCCAGGGTGTATTTCAGCCAAGCTCCCTTGTTGCTTTGGGATAATATTGTCCTGGGTATTCCATTAGCCATTCTTTTTTCAGTCTCTCCAAATAAAGTTTCATTACAGGTGGTCTCTATCATGGCTTATATTTCATGATCCAATACCAAATTGTTTTCATTTTAAATTGCACTTTATTCTATTCATATATCCTTATAAAGCCAATGCTTTGAGTCCATGCCCTATCACATGCTAGGTTCTCTGGTTTGCTTGCTCTCTGTGGTCTTGGTTCCCTAATTGTCTTTGTAAACATCTGTGCTTACAGTTCTTCCTGGAAAGTTTCTCATTCATGTGAGGCTAGAGGGTGAACAGCATCTTCTTGCTCATCAACCTCTCTTCCATTGCCTTACTTTAGTAAACACCATACATAAGTGAATGTTTACCTTGTCACTGCTAATTCTGTGTTTCTAGGGAATGGTTTCTTGGGATTGTTTTTCTATTTTAAGAGTGCCTCTATATAGTCCAAGTCAGCCTTGAATTTGTGATCCTCCTGCCTACCCCTCCATCAACATCTGTCTGCTTCTGCCTCCCAAGTGCTGAGATATCAGGTACATGCTGTGGTATTCAACTTGATTTCCCATTTTTAAAACCTTAGAGGGGACAATGAAAGGTAATAATGGAGTGGGTGGAAAATGCAGAGTGGGTGGCAAACTATGACTATGTTACATATAAAAATGTTATAATGAAACCTATTATTCTGTATGCTAACTAAAAAAATTAATAATTCTAAAAAGTAATATATCCATAACATGAAAGATCACTACGATTCTATTTCATAGGAAGTGAGCACATCACTCCATGTTCCTCTTACTTTTCCCTCATTTTCACCAACTTTGGAAACATGGATTTTGCATTTTAAATGCTATACTTTGGAAAATCTTTTCAATGTTTTCCTATGTAGTTGTGTGCAGTGTGTCTACTATATGTCTATCTGTGCATGTCTGTGTGTGCCCAATAGCAGGTGTATTAGTGGTATCTGTATGTGCAGATGTATAGCCATGAATGTGGAAACCAGAGGACAGCCTTGGGTAGCATTCTCCAGGTTCTGCACACTTTATTTTTGGAAATAGGGTCTCCATGGGACCTAGAACTCATCAATTCAAAAATCTGGCTGGTCAACAGCCTTAGGGATCCACCTGTCTCTGCCTCCCTAGTATTGGGGTTATCAGTGCAAGCCACCAAGATCAATTTTAATGCACAATTTTGCTGCCAGTACATGGGAGGCTGAGGCAGGAGGATAAACACAAGAAAGAATGTAAGTTTGGGATACATCTTATCTTTGAAAGGGCACTACATACTCATCAAAGGAAAAATCCACCAAAAAAGACATTGCAATTCTTAACATTTATGCACCAAATACAAGGATACCCAAGTTCAAAAAGAAACACTACTACAGCTTAAATCATATTTCGACCTTCACACACTGTAGTGGGTGACTTAAATACCCCACTCTCATCAATAGACATGTCATCTAGACTGAAACTAAAGAGAATGCTGGAGCTAACAGAAGTTATAAACCAAATGGACCCAACAGATATTTATAGAACATTGCCCCCAAACACAAAAGAATATACCTTCTTCTCAGCAGCTCATTTTCTCCAAAATTGACCACATACTTGAATACAAAGCAAATCTCAAGAGATACAAGAAAACTGAAATAATACTCTGCATCGTGTCTGACCACTATAGAGTAAAGCTGGGTATCAACAATAGGAACAACAGAACCTTAAAAATTCACAGACACTCTCTACTAAACGAAAATGAGTCAAGACAGAAATTAAGAAAGAAATACTTTCCAGAATTGAATGAAAATTAATATACAACATACCCAAACTTATGGGACACAATGAAGGCAGTGGTAAGAGGGAAGTTCATATCCCTAAATGCCTACACACAAAAAAAAATTGGAGAGATCTCATACTAGTAACTTAATAGAACACCTGAAAGCTCTAGAACAAAAAGAATAAGTCACACCCAAAAGGAGTAGATTGGCAAGAAATAATCAAATTCAGGGCTGAAATCAATAAAATAGAAACAAAAAAAATAAAACAAAGAATCAATGAAACAAAGAGTTGTTTCTTTGAGGAAATCAATAAGACTAACAAACTGTTAACCAAATTAATTAAAAGGTGAAGACACAATATTTAAATTTGACAAAATTAGAGGTGAAAATGGGGACATAACAATAGACACTAAGGAAATTCAAAGAATTACAAGGACATACTTCAAAAACCTGTGTTATACCAAAAAGAAATGGATACTTCTCTTGATATCTACCAACTACCAAACTTAAATCAATATCAGATAAGCATTTTAAGTAGACCTATAATCCTAGTGAAAGAGAAGCAGTAAGTAAAAATATCCCAACTAAAAAAGATCCAGGGCCAGATGGTTTTAGCACAGAATTCTACCAGAATTTCAAAGAAAAATGAATGCCAATACTTCTCAAATTATTACACAAAATAGAGACAAAAGAAACATTGCCCAATTCTTTTTACAGGGCCAGTTACCCTGATACCTAAACAACATAAAGATCCAACAACAAAAGAGAATTACAGACCAATTTCCACTATGAACATAGATGCAAAAATTCTCAATAAAATACTTATAAACCAAGTCCAAGAACACATCAAAAAGATGATTCACCATAATCTAGTAGGCTTCATCCCAGAGATACAGGGATGGTTCGACATATATAAATTGATAAATGTAATCCACTGTATAAACAAACTGACAGACAAAAAACACATGATCATCTCATTAAGTGCAAAAAAATCCAGCACCCTTTCATGATAAAAAGTCCTGGAGAGAATAGCTATACAAGGAACATACCTCAACATAATAAAGGCAGTTTACAGCAAGCCCATAACCAACATCAACTTAAATAGAGAGGAACTTGAAGCAATTCCACTAAAATCAGGAACAAGGCAAGGTTGTCCACCCCACAAACTGACATTAAGGCACTATTACTGAAGCTATCACCAACTCATTGAACATGGAAAAGTCAAGCTGGTGCCTACATACAGCCTTCACCTCTATGTGCTAGCATCTTTGGTACAGGAACGTACTTTGCACACTACCAAAGGAGAAATGTAAACGCCAGCCCACCCAGAAACCCTTTAATCTACAATGGTATCCTGCCTTCAAGATGTGCTAGTGCAAAGGGGGCACAAAGCTTATAGGAGTAACCAACCAATATCTGATTTGACTTACAGCTCACTCCACAAGATGAAACCCATACCTGAAGCTGACCAAGAGACTAACTAGCCCAGGGACCTAGAATAAAACCAAATAAAACTGTTCTTGAAAAAAAAGTAGCAATAAAATGTCTCCTAATGAATGATTCCTAATGACATTCTGCTACACACATGGATCAGTACCTTGCTCAGCCATCATCAGAGGATCTTCCTCCTGCAGCAGATGGGAACAAATGAAGAGACCCAGACATTATGGCAGAGAGTGAAAGACCTCAACAAGATGTCTACATCAAATCTTTCCCCTCAGGGCTCATGGAACCCTGTGGTAGAGGAGGCAGAAAAAGTATAAGAGCCAGAGGAGATGGAGAACACCAAGGAAACAAGACCCTTTAAATCACCATGCAAAAGCTCATATGAACTCACAGAGACTAAGGCAGCCTGCATGGGGCATGTACAGGTCTACACCAGATGGAGTCCTAGAGCTGAAAGGAGAAGTGGACACATGCTCCCATCTCTAACCCAGAAGCTATCTCCAGTTGACAACCACTTGCAAATGAAAATGTAGTTTTCTCCAAGAGAGTCTCACTGGGGAAACAAACTATTCTTAAGGGCAGGCTACATGCCCAGCTGTAGATGGCCAACAGAAAAGGAACCCAAAAGCATCTTTGGTGGTTCCTTGTCTTATAATGTTGTGTCATGGATTTCCTTTTTTCAATTCTATATTTTTAAAATTTTTATTTATATAATTTCTTTTCTCTCTCTCTTTTTACCCTACAGGTCCTTTGCATCTATATTATGGCTTCCAGTCTAGTGTTTTTATGGGATTCCTGACTGTGTAAATGAGTGGGTCTCCGCTTGTGTATCTGTGGCTTGTACCTTTTCTTGGTCTCTTTTCCTTCTGTTTATTTGTTTTGTCCTATTATGTATTAGTTTTTGTTTTATCTTAATATATTTGATGTTGTTATTCTCCTGTAGAAGCCTGTTTATTTTCTAATGAGAGACAGAAAGGAGTGAATCTGAATGGGAGGGAAGGTGGGAAAGAACTGGGAAGAATACAGGGAAGGGAACCATAATCAGGCTATATAATTGAGAAAAAATATATTTTTCAATAAAAGGAAAAAATATAAAATAAAATTTTATATTTTCAAAAGAAAGAAAAAAAAAGAAATCAGGAAGGAGCTAGAGGGTGCACTTTATCTAAAAATGAAAACCATGAAGCCAGCAGGCTATCCCTGCTCATTTCAGTAGTTTAGGAAACTGATTCAATGAGGAAAAAAATTGGGAAGAGAAGCTGGGAATGGGAAAACTTTACATCAGTTCTTTCTGTGTTCCCAGCATCACAGGAACAAAGCAGGGACACATAGACAGAAATCCACAAATGATGCAATCCATCTTACCTTGGAAGACCGGAAGGCAAAGGCCGTTGATTTGACATCAGCTTTTTCTTTGTCCATGAGGAGAAGGTTCTTGTCTTCCATAAGGCTTAAGTATTTTCCTGTTGTGACGTGCCGGAGTCGGAATGGTTGGCCCCATCTTATGTGACTTCCACTCCACCTGACAGAACAACCAGAATGTGATCCAATCACATCACCATCAGAGAGACAGCCATTGACATGTACAAGCATGACTCTGTGTGTGCACATGTGTGTGGATAAACACTATATATAGCACGTGCAGACATATATGCTATATGTCTGTATGCACAAACATCTCAGAAGCAGGTGCAAAAAGGGGAGACAGACTGAGAAGACTGGAGTTGAAACTCACAGCTTTTATACTTCGGAATTTGGGGGATCAGATTACTTTAACTATGTAGCTATAATATTTCCCTTACTTTAAACATTTTAAAATGCCAGCTTAGTTATGTACAGGTATACATTAGATGCATATGTAATAAAATTTTACCTACAAGCTTAATAATTATCCAAAGTATTAATATTAAAGTGGACTTAACATGATATTCATACCAAAAATGACTGAATTTTTTAATTATCAAACATTAAATATTGTGAACAGGGAAGTGTGATGTTATAGACTAACTGAATAACATACAAGAGTTGACAAGAACATCTTATTGCTAAGGAAGATGACAGGGAAAGAAGGGAAACTTCTTTTCAATCACAAAACACAATCACAAAAACACACCACCATGAAGCTGAATCCCTCAGGAGACCAACACAAGTGAGAAATTGGAATAATAAGCATTCTTTACACATGAAAAAAGAATTGAAGTATTTCTAAGTAAACGAAGTAGAATATCAACTCACAGCACTATTTATTCTTACTTGATTATTTGGAAAGCAGTGATGAAGCCATTTTATTTTAAAACATCACTTCTTTGGGCTGGTGGCACATGTCTTTAATCCCAGCACTCAGGAAGCAGAGAAAGGCAGATCTCTAAGAAAGGCTAGCCTGGTCTACAGAGCCATTTACAAGACAGTCAGGGCTACACAGAGAAACACTTTCTCAAAAAAACAAAACAAAAACATTTCTCCTTTAGTACACAGGAAGTTATTTTCTACTCATCTTTATAAACTGATCAGGATAATATTAATCAAGTATGTATCGAGTTTTCTAAAATTGATGTATGGAATACCTGAGCAAAATTACTGCAGACACAAAACTGCATGTTTATCATTAAGTAGGTAAATTGTGCACACTTTTTAAAAAAAATCTATAGACACTGACTGTAGTAAAACAGTCCTTGGCTCTCATTCAAGGAGTCTGTATCCTATGCTAATAACTCCCATTAGAGTGCAATATTGTAGGAAAAATACACAGACAACTTAGTGCATTTTAAACAAAGACTAAATCTTTCATTTATTTTTTTAAAAGTTTTGTCTGATAGCTTTGTCTAAAGCAGTTTAAAGCTATACCTTAATCAGTGATGTGGTGTTCATTTAAATGAACTGAAAGGCACTCCTTAGATAACTTTTACATTGACCAAAAACATATGTACATGCATGTATATCTAAATTCTTATTGCTATAATGAATACTGTAGTGTTTTGGGGTTGTTTTGTTTTGTTTTGTTTTGCTACTATCCAGAATGTCCTACTTCAGTGAGTATAAAGTTCATGGTCTCTGCAGGTAGATGTTGAATTCTTCATATTCATGCACACCTTTAGAAGTTTAAACCCACAAAGTTTCAGGCTTCAGGTGAGTGACAGGCTTGCAGATAACTTGTCCTGCTTCCAAATTAGACATCAATCTGTACTAGTAGCACTTTGTGCCAGGAAGATGCCAAGCATAGGCTGAGATGATGTAACAAAGCAAAAGAGCAAAGAGAAAGGCAGGCTGTACGGTGTATGAAATGGGACCATTCTGAAGTCTAGTGCCTAGTGAATCAAGACAGACAGAAGAGGCAGAAAGAGACGAGAAGAACAAGGGGTTGGACACCACATTCGTTTTCCATGTTGCTTGCTTCTGGAGCTATTAACAGGACCATCTCACCCTGAATTGGAAGCCAAAGGCACTGATCATTCTGTACCCTCAGAATGTTAGCCTAGGTGTAGAAGTTCTACTTACGCGACTCTTAGGGTCTCTAGTCTCCAGAGGGAACGTGCATGAACCGATACAGCACCACCTTCGTAATGAACTGTTCTGTTGACATAAAAAAAAAGTTTGAGTTTAACAGGTTTCATTCTTTTCTGCCTTTTAAGCAAATTGAGAGAAAGCAGGATATGGAACAGCCTGTGAATGGACAGTTAAAAATCTACTGTGAGGCAGGAGATAATACAGCTGGAGATAAAAATAAGTGTAACAGTGATCAATAAGTTCTTCCTCAATAAGCATTTATTTAAACATATTCTCTCACCATCATTTCCCCCTATAATATTAATATAATGTTTCCATAACTGCCCTCTATAGGACAGATTTTTACCAACTTTGGTCTGTGGAAGTACACACCAGTTTAGGTATGGTTTTATATATTATTATTTAAATATATGCATGTAATTTTTCACAGTTCTAAATTTGGCTTTTATTATTTAAAATACTTCCGAGAAATATAAGAAGACCAATTATTAGTATTTTAATACAATCATCTGCAATTTATACCAAATGGGCAATGTATGACAAAATATAAAAAGATGGAGTCGGGGTGATGGATCAGGGGTTAAAAGTACGTGCCCCACTTGCAGAGAACCTAAGTTTGGTTCCTAGCATCCATGTTGTGTGGCTCACAGCTGCCTGTAACTCCAGGTCCAGGTGAGCCAATGCCCTCTTCTAGCATCCATAGGTACCCACACATGTATGCACATACACATAAATACATAAGTAGAAATAAAATATTTAATATATAATGCACACATATACATAAACAAAAAATCAGAAAAGGTGTATCTCTGGATGCATATTACATGTACCCAAAGGCCAAAGCACTTCGAACAATTTAAGATGTAGAGAAACTTACATAAATTGTCCAAATTGATCTCTGCGACCACCTTTCAACAATGTTGCAAGGAAGCCAAAGCTTGTACACACATATTGTATCTTTTCCCAAGGTTTCAGTAACTTCTCGAGAGTATAGCCCTCATGATCTAAACATATAGGAATGTTCTCTCTCAAAAGAACACCAACACCTCACTCCCTCCTCTCCAGCCTCCCTACCACCCTCCTACCCCTTCAACCCCAGTCTCACTACCACTGCCTCCTGTTGGTTCTCCTTCTGCTCCAATCTCCTCCCAGACCTGTTTCTCTATTGAAACGGATTTTGCCATGGTCGTCAACCTTCCTGTCACCAACTCCAAAGGGTTCTTTTGCAAAAACACTGTGGAAATCCTTTCTGCCCAGGCCATGTTTTTGACACCATCCTGGCCTCCTTCTCCTCCTTCTCCCCTTTGACAGGCTTTTTCACTCTATCTTTACTGTGGAATTTCTCAAATACACACAAAATTAGAATAAATATGCCCTTGCACACCCAGCACAAAATGTAAGGCCATCTAGAGTACATACAGCCTCTACTTATCCCTCCACAGACAACCTGTAAAAATATTGATATTTTAAAATATCCAGTCACTTTTCAAATCTTCTAAATTGTCTCACAAAATCTTTCCTCCCATTGTTTTTATCAGGATTCAAACAAGATGTGCATGTTGGTTCACTTTCCTCCTCATTCTAGGGTAGTTTTCACTACTTCCTCTCTCTCTTCCTGGTTCTTGGGCTTTTGTGGAGTGTTCGCTTTGTTCATGTTGTTTTCTTCCTTCCTTCCTTCCTTTCTTCCTTCCTTCCTTGTTTTATGAAAAATTCAGTTCCATTTGTCCCACCGAACTTTCTGTATTCTGGATTTTTCTAATTGTACCCCCATCCTCATTAAAGGTGGTTGTGAGTTGCCTAATATGGCTGGTAAGCATTGAACTCAGATTCTCTACAGGAACGGCAAGAACTCTTACCATGGAGCAACCTCTCCAGCTTCATGATGGCCTTTATTTCTAAGTCTACCTCTAACCATAGCTGCTTATTCAATTTAGACTTTTTTTAGAATAATATTTCAGAGATACATGTTGCCCACTTCCTGTGATATCATAACCATCAGGGGGAACACAATACCTGGCTGTTCATTTCTTAAGATCGACCTGTAGGCTCAGAACCATCCTCAGGAGTCCACAGTGCCCAGAGGATTTGGGGTGCATCTGTAAACACTATCTACAGCAGTTACTTTCTGACACGCTTGTAGATAATAACCATACAAGAAACTATCAAAAATGCTATGCCATACCCTCACCTCATATAAAGTAGATGTGGAGTTTAGCTCTTTTTAAAGGAGGGCTTTGTGGAGCCCACTACCTACGATGGCACACCTCATGCAGCCTTGAGGCAGGGGGAAGGGTTTGGACTTGCCTCTACTGAATGTGCCTCCCCATGGGAGGCCTTGACTTCTTGTGGATGGGAGTCGGGGGTGGGTTGTGAGGGGGAGGCTGGGGGCGGGAGGAGGGAAGAGGGGGATCTTTGATTGGTGTGTAAAATGAATAAAAATAAATTCTTAATAAAAAGAAAAGAAAAAAGTCTTCAGCTGAGTCCAATAAAGAGCCAAAAACTTGGATCCCATGGTTTAGATGAGTATCTCCATAGCAGTACACCTACTGTGTGGAGTTGGGTATATCTCTGCTGCTGGGGCTGTCCCCTACATTATAGGATATTGGCAGCATTGGAGCTGTCCCTTACATTATAGGATATTTGCAACAGTGGGACTGTCTCCTTTATTATAGGACATTTTCAGCAATCTTACCCCCTATCAACTAAATGCCAAGAGCAGCCTTCCAGGCTGGTATAGGCAAAACTGGCTCTCACATTTCTTAATGTCCCTTGAGACAAAATCAGTCCAAGTACAGCACTAGATGCAGGTGGATGAATCTTAACATTTAGTGAGGTAGAATTTTCTCAAGATCCTCCTAAGGCCCAAGCTGGCCTCATGGCTAGAGTCTGATTGAAGTCAAGGGTGAAACCCATGAATCTACATTTCTCCTAAGTCCTTACAGGAAGTATATTCTGCAGATTGACATTTTGAGAACTACGGGGCTACACTAGTTATTTGATTGGCATTGTTCTTAACCTTAGTTATGTAATAGTAATGCTTCAGCAGCTTTAGAAAAATGTAAGGCAGAGACAACACTCAGGCTAACAAAACCAGTCTCCAGGTATATGTTTAAGAAATAAATGAAAAGTAATCTAGACATTCAGTTTCTCTGTGTATATATACACAAATGATAGATTAGGTAAAAGATGATAGATAGATAGATAGATAGATAGATAGATAGATAGATAGATAATAGATAGATAGATGATAGTTTAGATTACTCTGTTTTAATAAAAGTCTTGTGTTTCATCATAAAGAACAGCGTACTAGATATATTTTTAAGATTTGTTTACTTTTTTATGCATATGGGTGTTTTGCCTTGCATCACATGTATTCCTGGTGCCTACAGAGGCCATTAGATGCCCTAAAACTGGAGTAACAGACAGCTGTGAGCAACTTTGTGGGTGTTGGGAATTCAAGCTGGATCCTCAGCAAGAGCAGCCAGTGTTCTTAACCTCTGAGCCATTTTCCCACCCCACCCCCAGACTCCTTGTCATTTCTTCTGATGGTTAACAATGAAATTTAGAAATGGAATTTTAAAAAATCCTAACCATTTAGAAAATAAAGAAACTTTCTCAGAATCAAAATTAAAATCAAAGATTTACTGTAACTGGAATAAAATGAAGATACAACCATTTCATAACCTCTGTGCCTTGCATCAAGAGAGTCAGAGTGAAAGCCATTAGCCTACAATCCCTCAATTATTTAAAAAAAAGTGGAATAAAAGGAAGAACTCTTGTCTGAAGAGAAAAAAGAACAAACCACATTAATACAAAACAGAAAGATGGAGCTCTAGGATATGTGTAAATATAAAGACACAGGAGTTGTCTTCCTTTTTTTCTCTGGTACTGTAAGAAAGCACACTGACTTAGGAAAGGGGATTTATTTGGCTCACAAGTGCAGGCAGAGACCACATCATGGGGAAATCCAGGTGGCAGGAACTTGAAGCACCTGGAATCATCACACCCACAGTCAATAGGAGAGAGAAAGGAATTAACACACGCATGTATTTGTTGGTCTCTTCTGCTGCCTGTAGAAGCAATGTGACCAGTTCTCTCAGGTCCCTGCCACAGTGACTTCCCCACCATGGTGAATCAGAAACTGAAACTGAAGCTTAAAATCCACACTTTTCCTTTCCCCTAAGTTGTGTTTCTTAGGATGTTTTATCACAGTAACAGAAAATGAAACTGAGACAGAAATATAAATGATACCCACTTTCTGTACAACAATAAATCACTATGAATCTGCCATAAGTATGCAAATATTCAGTTCTAAATGAGCTTAGAAAAAGGTGTTGAATAATGAACCTAAAATGGTGACTAAACAGACAGGGATAGAGAAATCACAAGGTTGAAAAAAAATGGGCTTTAACATACACACAGTATGGATATGGCTGTGTAAAATTACATATCTATACAGGGGAACTGCTCAAACATTTTCTTTCTAACCTTCCATTTCAACTTAGCAGGAAGTTTTTTTAATTTTATATGAGTAGAAAACTAACGATAAGTTTAATTCAGATTTTTAAAACACAAAGTTGAAAGGAGAGTAAATCCTACTTCCTTTCTGAAATCTTTTAGCTCTGTCCTAAAGGTCCTCCTCCCCTGAACTCTGTGTTTGCAAAATGTTCCGATCCAACAGTAGATAGAGAACCTGGGCTCCCTCCCAAGTACTCACAGCTAACCAGGGCAGCTTGGTCATTTATTGGATTCCCCCATATAAACGGAATGTGTAGATGTTGGTGTTTTTTTTTAAGTCTCCATGGGCTATTTCAGGTTAAATGTTAGTGCAAGGTATCAAAAACCCTAAATGGAACAAGGCTATAGGCCCATTCTAAATGACACAAAGGGAAGGCAAGCTTATTTAAAGTTTGATCCACCTGGAGGCAAGCACCTATTCTATGAAGGGAGAATCACTTTTGCCCACCTTGTATCTAAGGCATCAAAATCAGAGTCCAAAAAGACACTTTTTTCAAAGTCTGTTTAAGTTACTTTTCTACTGCTGTGAAGAGACACCATGACCAACT